TATATTAACTTTTGTGCAGTTTACATTGCAAATATGCTCTTCACAAAATCACACTATCTTTAAGCATTCAGAATGAAATTCTCATGCTGTTGACTTTGCAGATTTATTTCTGAAATAAGCTTCCTGTCACATTAAAGAAGCACAAATATTAGTTATACAATATGTAAAGCCATTCTAGAAAGAAGTTTTGTGAGTAAAGAAAATGCCTGAAACATTTAAAGTTGTCTGTTATGTTACTATGTCATTCTTCAAAAAGTTCATGGAGGATTTGTATTATCTTTTAATTCTATTTTTCCATGAATTTTTTGAATTACCCTTGTATTTGCAGTAAATAAAAAATCATGATGAAGAACTGTATTTTGGTAATCCTGGTGTTTGGTAATAATAAAAAATAGTAGGTTTGGGGAATTTGAAGGGGCCCAATATATAATACTCTTCTTTCCTGAAATCTGCCCAATTAAAAAATAAGGAAGGCAGAAAGGGAGGCAAAAACGTCACATTTTCTATTGATATAGTAGATAATGGAGAATGTAGCTTATATCTGCAGGCAAGGGTTTTCTAATATTTAACCATCTCAGAATTAGACTAACTTAACTCACATTATTTAAGGCAGCACTGTACCCCACAAACTTTCTCTAATGGATTTCTGCCACTATAATACATAAGGAATGGAAAAGCAGAGTAGAACACTCGCAGGCGAAGTTCCAAAGAGACAGGGAAAATGAAGGGGCTGGGTTCCATATGACCTAGTGTATTCTTCCAAACTCACTGATGAGATTGAGTCACTCCTTCCCACCTTAGGATAAGAGAGAGGCCAGGGGGAGGCCAGGAGGATTAAACTAGTAAAGCTTTTTCTACCTTGAAGAAAAAATAAGTAGGGAAAAAAATTCAATTCCAAAGTGGGGCTAGCCCAGTGGTTAGGTTGGAAAACATCATGTCTTTGCAAATAACACTGAAAAAATATAAAGAACTTTTCTTTTTTGCAGTGAAAATTTAATTATATGTAGACTCAATCACTGGAACAGACATTTATTGAACACTCTTTGTCCTTGACTGTGCTAAATGCAGAAACTTAAAGAAAGATGAACAAGAAAGGGAGGGAACATAGAGTATGATTAATGACAACAGAATTGTAAATGAGTTCTCTGTGAACACAGAAAACTTAACAGTAGAGGGAACTTTTATAACGTATTACATTCATTTATTCCTCTATTTATTCAACACCTTCTGTATGCCAAGCTCTGTAGCAAAGTATTTTGCCATAAGTATACAATGGTGAACAAAATCCTTCCTATTAAGCAAAGGGTGGAGACAGATGTTAATAAAATAAACATGTAAACATATAATTACAAAACGGAATATGTGTTAAAAAGGAAAAAATATAGGGTGAGGTTAGGGAAAATAACAGAGGTTACATAATTTAAATCACAGGGAAAGGGGGTTTCTCTGAGGAAACATTTTAAGTGAGAGCTAAGGATGGGATATGTCCCACCAGGTAGGAAATAGGCAGTGACAAACAGGTAATTTCAGGAGAAGAAAAGTCAGATACAAAGGTCTTTAGGTGGAAGAAAGCTTAGAGTGTTTGAGGGAACAAGGTGAAAAGGGGATCACGGTTGAAGACAGCATGAGGGAGGTGGTCAGAAGCCACATTGTGAAGTCATGTAGGACACATTAGGGACTTCAGGTGTCATTATGTTCATTAGGAAGCCACTGAATGACTTAGGAAGGGGAACAACATGATTCAATTTACAATGATTGGAAGGTACAAGAGTGGGTGAGAGGAAAGCAGAGAAGAGATCATTTCTGAAATGTAGGTGAGAGAGGGGGGTGGCTAGAACTTGGGAATGGAAAAGGAATGGACTTAGAAAAGTGGAAATACTCAAGAAGTATTTTAGAGGTAAAAGCAACAAAACTTGGCAATGGATTGGGGTAGGGTGAGAATGGCAAGATTTTGTGAATGTGTCAAAAATGCCTGCTACATTTCTGACTTCAGCAGTACCCAGAAAAAATGACATGTGAGCTGGGCCTTGAAGACTTTATTTTAGTTGAATTTTAGCTGATGGAGAAGAAAGAGAGAAGGGCACAGGGGTGTGAATGCCTGTGGCATCTTCAGAGTATCACAAATCATATTCTGATGCATTAGTAGTGTAGGGTATGCAATAAAAATGCAGGGAGATAGTGGTGAGGTGCAGATTATGAAGGCACTTGAATTTTTCATAAGGGTTTTTGTTTATTTAATCAGGGCATTATCATGTCAGATCTATTTTTATGTTTATATTAGACTGTTGGGGATTCAGAATGGGAGCTTATGAAAGAAGGATTAGGACAAAGATTTGGAAATTTTCTATAGATGATGACTAAAACCACAACCAAATGAGATAGCCCATGGAGAATACATAGTAAGAAGAGAATCAATGATTAACCTTTGGGGAGCCTCTGTATTTAAAAAAGGAAGAAGGAGAAATGAGAAAGAAGCTCAAAAAGCATGAAATCCTCATGGATAGCATGAAATGAAATGAAATCATAATTAGTTACAGCTGATAATTATAGAGCATTTGCTGTGTGCCAAGCACTGTTCTAAGAACTTTATATGCATATTAAACCATTTACTTTTTACTCTAATCTTGTGAAGTAGGAACTATTGTTAACCTCATTTTATAGATGTGGAGACTAAGCCATAGACAACTTAAATTGCTCATCTAAGGTCACTAACCTAGTACTATAAGTAGCAGAGCTGGGATTCAAAAGGATTTACAATCTTAACCATTATGCTTACTGCCTCTCAAGACTCTGATCTTCATCATTTCTGTCCTCTCCAGACTGTATGAAAAAACTAGCTCAATCACAGTTATACAACACTTTTGGGAGGCTTCTGATGAATTAACCCAACCTCTGCCTTAAGCGTTAATCATGGCAACAGTCTACAAGTGAGCTGCTTTAATGTGTGTTAGTTAATGACCCCACACTCTTCAAAATATGTTTTAAATGAAAAAATACCTTGATGTTTATAAGTAGAAAAAGATCCCCTAAATTATAGATCATCAAGTTACTGTGAATATAAAGTACTGGATCTTTACATTAACGGATAACATCAAGACAGAATCCAACAAATACCTTAAACGTGGCAGATTAACTTTTAAGAATATAAACCATAATCATTATAAAAGAATTTCAATAATACAGACAAAATAAAGCATGTTTTAAAATTTTCAAATTACTAAAAGTAGAAACAATAAGCTCATAGAGATGAGCTAATATTAAAGTTTTCTTCAGCAATTGCTTTCTTAATTGGTTAAATTTTAATAAAAGTAGAAGTATAATTATAATAACCTTAAAATAAAAACTGGTTATGAACTGGAGATTTTGCCGCCCCTCACCCCTGCCCCAGGGGACATCTGACAATGTCTGAAGACATTTTTGGTTGTCACAACTGGGGGCTGGGGTGCTTCTGGCTTCTAACGGGTAGAAGTCAGGAATGCTACTAAAATATTACAATGCAATGGACAGCCCCCAAAAGCAAAGAATAATGTGGCCCCAAATGTCAGCAGTGCCAGATGCAACTATTATGGAATTTAGTATATATTTGAACACACAGATGACAAAGACTATTGTATTACAAAATCTAAGGATAAAATCAACTTCATTTTGTCCTTCATGATGAAACTAAATAAATGTCATATTATTTCTTGCCATCATTAGCTTCTTGCTATTGCACTAAATATAAGACTGATGGACTTCTTTCCTAAAATCTTTACACTCAGTACTTTGACTCTGTTCTTCACACTTGGGAAAACTTCTATGGAGCATACTAATAAGAAAAATAAATACACATAAAAAAGAATTAAAAGTGGGAATTGATAAATATTGGCATTTCATTTAAAACCTGCTAACATGCAATGAATAAACTAGGTGCATGAACTGATTTTTTTTTCTATCTAAATGTCTTCTGTCACCACTTATAAAGGAAAAAGCACTCTAACAGACTTTGTGTGTTTAATTTTAACACAGGGCAAATTTTTATGACTGAGTGATAAACCCACAAAACTGGAGTTCATATTGGAAGTCGTTACACTACTCACTATTATGATACCAGTGGGCATTACCATTTTTAAAAGTGTAAAAAAAAAAAATCAATGAGCAGATTGTCATTATAGAAACTCATTCTGCATCACACATATCACCCAAGAGATTGATATTTTATGCTTATAAAACTTAACATAAAATTAAATTGCAAATATTTTCTCACCATCTACTAAAATTATGGCCTAAGGCAATACACTGCTAATATGAGGCATTTGTTCAGGTTTAGTGGACATATTTCCTATATGATTTATGTGAAGGAAGACTTCATTTACTTCTTCACAGATTCAATAATGAGGTTTCTTTTCTTATATTAATCCTAGAAAGTGTAGGAAATTCTTAAAATCAAGCCAGCAAATATAACAGTGAATTATTAATAATAGTCAAATTAAAAAGTTTGAAATCTTTCCTCCTTGTGTTTATGACTATGTCGTTTCAAATATCAGCCATTCCTTCATTATCCAAATGCATAGAAAGCATCTAAATACCTCATGCAGAAAATACATTTTCATTCTTTAGGAACAAAACCATAGTAACAAATTTCAAGTAAAATAGTAGATTATGATTTTTCAACCCTGGAATATAGAAAGATTAAAAATAATTTTAGTCATTCCCCCCCAAAAAGTTAGGTATGACAGAAGGGAAAGCTGTCTTATCCACTGGGATATGAATAACACTGAGTCCGTGAAGCGTAAGAAAAGATCAAATTGATTTCACTATTATTAATCCAATGCATCGTGAACTTATTGTGTAGTACTTTCTAGCCAGTGAAATGTTTGTTTATTAGCATGTTTCAGTATACACAAAGCAGGAAATAATGTCTTCATCTGGAACTTAAAAATAAAAATCTTTATGCTGAAATCTATTTAAATAGAAAAATCACCAGATTTTATACCCAAAGTATAACAGGCGACTCTCACCTTAAGCATTCAGCATCATTTTGAGGCCTTTCACTGATTTTAAGTTTTTCTGCCTCTAGGTATTTGGTAGTACAAATAGCTTCATTCTCTTCATCTTCAAAAACTAAACAATCAAGAAAATTCTTAAAATCTTTAAAATATTAAACATACAGTATATTTTCATTCACCTAAGAATAATACTCTAATTGATGGTGCTTGCATATAAAATGTACATGCTAATAATTTTTATTTTCTACTTTAATATAGCAATTAAAGGCACAAAAAAGATCCTAGCAAAATTTTTGACATTAAAAATACAAGATCTAACACTGATTGATTCAGTGTCCTTTTTTGTACCAATAACACTGTAACCTAACAGGTTAATACATTTTGAAGGAAGAGTATGACCCTATCATGTGTATACAACTATATTTAGCAGCAAAATAAACTAACTCATGAAAGTAATACCTTTAAGTTTTCTCTGAAGAGTAAACAATTCTTCTATCAATTCACTCTTCTGTTTTTGAAGTTCGTTTAAGTGCCCACTATCATGTTCCATTGATTTCATTTCTAGAAACAAATAAGATAGTATCAAAAAACTAAAATAATTAGGAATAAGTTTAACCAAGGAGGTAAATATCTGCACACTGAAAACTGTAAAACATTGATAAAAGAAACTGAAGAAGACACAAATAAATGGAAAAATATCCCATGTTCATGGATCAGAATTATTAATATTGTTAAAATGTCCATACTATCCAAAACAAAATACAGATTCAATGCAATCCCCATCAAAATTCCAATGACATTCTTCACAGGAAGAGAAAAAAATCTCTAAAAAAAATCTAGAAACAAATAGACAAACAAATAAAAAACATATTTTAAGTATTTGGGCTTTGCCTTAAAAATTTCAGCAATTACAAACTTTTTCTTATGTAGTAAATATTTAAGTAGCATATGGTCAATTCTAAGCCCCCATTGACTTCCCTTGACCTCCTAGAAACTGTTTTTAATAAACTAACCAGCACTCATTAATCACCAACTAGATACAACAGTGTAAGTTAGTTGATGGTTCGGCTACCAAAAGAGAATTCAAAATACGTAGTATCACTAAGTAAAAAAAACTTCTTAACAATATATTAACAAAACTTCATCTTTCATAACTAAAGCATACAGTAGTCTCCCCTTATCTATGGTTTCGATTTCTGCAGTTGTTACCTGTGGTCAAAGGCAGTCCAAAAATAGTAAATGGAAAATTCCTGAAATAAGCAATTAGTAAGTTTTAGATTATGTGCCATTCTTAGTGTGATGAAATCTCACATTGTCCAGCTCCATCCTGCCCAAGACGAGAATCATCACTTTGTCCAGCATAACTATGATATGTTACCCAACTGTTAGTCACTCACTAGCCATTTTGGTTATCAGATCGACAAATCACAAGAAGTAGAAGGGTGATTATTGTACAATAAAATATTTTGAGAGGAAGAGAGAGACCACATTCCCATAACTATTACTACAGTATATTGTTATAATTATTCTATTTTATTATTAGTTATTGTTGTTAATCTCATACTGTGCCTAATTTAAAAGTTAAACTTTATCATAGGTAGTACGTACAGGAAAAAACAGTATATGTGGTGTTCAGTACTATCGTGGTTTCAGTCATCCACTGCAGGTCCTGGATCATAGCCCCCATGGAGAAGGGGAAATTACTGTATTTTAAATGACATTGCATAGTACTCACTACATGGCTAGAAGCTTTGGGTTTTGCTAATGTTGTTGCCTTTATATAAAATTTCCTATCTGTCTTTATTCCCACAACAAACTCCAATTCACATTTTAAGACTCATCTCCTAATTTTTCAAATACTTTTTTCTCTTCAGCTACAATCTTCTGGGACTCCAATTACACATATATTAGATTGCTTGATGTTGTTTCTCAGGCCTCTGAGGAGATTTTTAGTTTTTTTGAAGTCTTTTATTTCCCTCTCTGTTTTAGTTTTTAATGCTCTCTCTTCAAATTCACTGATCTTTTTTTTATAATTGGTTATGTTTATTCATGAGATACAAAGCTGATTGTCACCCCTTGTGCCCAAGATGTGAAGGCCAGATCCATACTGGCAGCATGCACCTTACCACAAATTGTGTTTGTACCCCGTGTACCCCACCCAATTATCCCCTCCCTCCCTCCTCCTCACCTTTTCCCCCTCACTCTGCTTTGTATTCCAAGGTATGTTCTCTCCTTCTGCAAGTCCAACGCACTACTGTGGACTTTCTTTCCTTCCTTCTTTCTCTCTTAGCTCCCACTTATGAGTGAGTACATGCGGTATTTATACCTCTGTGCTTTGCTTATTTCACTCAACAGAAGTTTCTCCAGGCTCATCCGTGTTGTTGCAAATGGGAGTATTTTATTCTTTTTTATAGCAGAGCAGTATTCCATGGTGTATATATACCACATTTTCCTTATCCAATCATCCATCGGTGGACATTTAGATTGGTTCCATGTCTTGGCTATTGTAAACATAGCTGTGATGAACATGGGAGTACAGGTATCCTTTCGACATGATGATTTCCATTTCTCTGGGTATATACCCAGAAGAGGGATTGCCGGATCATATGGAAGATCTATCTGTAGTTGTTTGAAACCTCCATACTGTTTTCCATAGTGGTTGTACTAATTTACAGTCCCACCAACAGTGCAGGAGCATTCGCTTCTCTCCACACCCTTGCCAGCATTTGTTATTCACCGTCTTTTTGATTGTAGTCAGTCTAACTGGGGTGAGATGGTATCTCAATGTAGTTTTAATTTGCATTTCCCTGATGGCTAGTGCTCAAATTCACTGATCTTTTCTTCTGATCTGCTGTTATTCTCTTCCAGGAAATTTTTCATATCAGATTTTGTATTTTCTAAACTCTAGAGTGCCTTTGGTTCTTTTTACAGAACAATGTTTTATTGAGATATAATTCACATACCATATAACTCACCCTCGTAAGGTATATAATTCAATGGATTTTAGTATATTCACAGATTTTTGCATCCATTCCCACTATATAATTTTGAAACATTTCACGACCCCAGAAACTCCATACCCATTAGCAGTCACTCCCAATTTCTCCCTGCTCCTCCAACCCAAGGCAACCACTAATCTGCTTTCTGTTTATATGGATTTCCCTATTCTGTGCATTTCACAAACATAGAACCATAAATATGGTCTTTTGTATCTGGCTTATTTTACTTAGCATAATTATTTCAAGGACCATCCATGTTGCAGCATGTACCAGTGTTTAATTCCTTTTTATGCTTGAATAAAATTCCATTGTATAGATATACCACATTTTGTTTTTGAATTCATCAGTTGATAGACATTTAAGTTATTTCCACTTTGTGGCTACTATGAATAATACTGCTATGAACATTCATGTATAAGTTCTTGTGTGTTTGTATGTTTTCAATTCTCTTAAATACCTAGGAGTGTAATTGCTGTATTATATGGTAACTCTAGGTTTACTGTTTTGAGAAACAGCCAAACTGTTTTCCAAAGCAACTGCACCATTTTACATTCCTACGAGCAATACACAAGTTTTCAAATTCCTTTGTATCCTTGCCATCACTATTATTGTTCACCATTACTATAGCCACACAAGTGGTATATCACTGTGGTTTTTAGTTCTTTAATTTCCTTCAACAATGTTTTTTGCAGTTTTTAGTGTACAAGTCTTGCCCTTTTGTTGAATATATTCCTAAGTATCTTTTTGTTGTTGCTGCTATTGTAAACAGATGTTTCCTTAAATTGATTTACAAATTGTTCATTGCTAATATATAGAAATATAATTTTTTTGTGTGTATTTATCTTATATCCTCTAGCCTTGCTCTAATAGTTTTCTTGTAGATTCCTTAGGATTTTCTATATACAAGATCGTGGTGTCTTTGAATAGAGAGAGTTTTACTTCTCCCTTTCCAACTTGGATATCTTTTATTTCTTTTTCTTGCCTGATTGCCTCATCTAAAACCTCCAATGCAGTGTTGAATAAAAGCGGTAAGAGTGGATATCCTTGCTTTGTGTCTGATCTTAGGTGGGAAACTTTTTTTCTTTCACAATTAAGAATGACATTTGCTATGGGTTTTCAGTAGATGCCCTTTAACAGGCTAAGGAAAGTTCCTTATATCCCTAGTTTATTGAGTGTTTTTATAATGAAAGGGTGTTGGATCTTGTCAAATGCCTTTTCTATGTCTTTTGTTATTTTTTATATCTTCCACTTAGTTCATTATGGTTCACATTCTTGAGTATACTTGTAATATTTATAAAAGCAGTTTTAAATTCTCTTTCTCCTAATTGCATCATCTCTGTCACTTCTGGGTAGGTTTCTTTTTTTTTTTTTTTTTTTTAAAGATGACCGGTAAGGGGATCTTAACCCTTGACTTGGTGTTGTCAGCACCACGCTCAGCCAGTGAGCGAACCGGCCATCCCTATGTGGGATCCGAACCCGGGGCCTTGGTGTTATCAGCACCGCACTCTCCCGAGTGAGCCACGGGCTGGCCCTATTGACTCCATCTCCTCCTTGATATAAGTTATAATTTGTTCTTTCTTCACATGTCTAGTGACTTTTGACTGGATACCAGACATTGTATTTATTACTTTATTGAATGTTTGAATTTTGCTATCTTTAAGCATATTGATGTTTGTTGTAGCAGGTAGTTAAGTTACATATGAATCAGCTTCATACCTTGTTCTAACATTTTTTTTTAGGGTGGATCTGGAAGAGCATTTATTCTGAGGCTAATTTAATCCTACTTTTAAGGCAGGACTCTTCTGTTTAATAAAGTCTTCCTATTATGAAAAGATGGAGCATGAATGTCTCCCAGTCCCATGTGAGCTCTTAGAATTGTTCACCTTATTGCTCCTCAGTAGTTTTTCTTTACTCAGCTTAGTGAAGTCTCCCCTATGTATGCACATGTTAATAAACAGCTAAAAACTCAGAGACCTCTATATAAATTTTTGCAGCTTTTTCAACGTGTAGACCTGTCCTCTCAAGTACATGTCCTAAAAATTCTCGTTGACTTAATCTCCTTGAACTTCAATATTTGTGTCTTCAATCAGTCCAACCAGTTTGCACTTCTTAAGTTCCTCCTCCCAGGACTACTGTCCAAAAATTGCACCCAGGTAGAAAGCTGGGGCAACCACAGGGCTTACTTTATTTGTTTCCCTTCTCTGAAGGATCACAGTCCTATACTGTCTCTTGTCCTCACTATCTAAAATTATCTCCTGTCTCTAATTGTTTGTGGTAGGAGGGAAAAATTCCATAAAATTACTCCTTCATGATCATAAATGAAAGTTCTCCACATAATATTTAAATTATCCTTTTATTTGTCTCTCTTCCACATTATACCATAAGCCCCTTGAAAACAGAAACTTGCCTCATTCATATTTAAACTTCAATTCTTGTACAGTGCCTGGTATAGTATATACAAAGCACAAAGTGTGTTGAAATAACTAAATTAAAATAAATCACATAATTGCCTTTAAAGATTTTTGATTATTCACAATGTTTTTGTCTATTAGTGTAAATAATTAAAAGTGGACAATTCTATGAAAAGAAAATTAATAGACTCACATTTGTTCTTCTGCTCCTTTAATGGATTAAATTTAAAAATATAAACATAACTACATGCTTATAAGTGAGGTATTCCAAGATACCATAACAATCTTTAAAAGATTAAAAAAGATACAATATTTTATTCACTAGTTGATTTATCAGACATTCTATGATAAAATACCTTTGTAAAACTTAGGCAAGATTGATGGAGAAATTTTGGATTTAAATTTTCCTGAGACAGAGGATATGTTATTTTTCTTAGTTCTGACCATCTATGCTAAATGGAAAGGCATAGTCTGAAGACTGATTCTTCAAAGAAAAATAGAGCAAATGTGCCAATTCCTTATGAAACTCACAGAATTGAAAGAATAAACACTGTCTTTGTGGTTATAACTTTCCCCCCCACTTTTACATTGCCTCATTTTTACTGTATTGTTATTTTTATTTACAGCTTTATTGAGGTATAACTGATCTAGTGATCCCCTTTTAATTTCTTCCACTGCCTAAAATTCCCAATGTTCTAATCAATAGCTAGGTTTTATGGCTATGAATATTAAACCAAACTAAGACAATCAAAATTCAATCCCATCTTTTAACATGTGAGTTGTCTTTCTCATATGTACATTGCCAATCATTCATGGTTATTACCAAGCAAAAACAAATGTAACGTATTCTTATCTCACATCCAAGAAAAACTAATTCACCAACTGGGAGAAATGAGTAAGTGGAACATTTTGAGAAAAATGTTATGACAATCATTATAGTCATTATTTTGAAGCCAAAAGTGATAGATGCTTTTATCTATGAATTGCCAGATGTTTAAAATGAATACATATTTAGTCATTTCACAAATATATATTGAATAACAAATACTCCATATTTCTACTTGCACAGGCCAAAAACCTTGGAGTCAACCTTAACTCCTCTCTTTCTCTCACACCCCATATCTAGTCCATCATGAAATCCTAGGTGTCTAACCTCAAAATATATCCAGAATCTGAATTCCTCTTACTGCTTCTGTTGCTATATCCCTAATCCAAGCCATCATCATCTCTTATCTGGATTACTGCCACTGTCTCTTCAGTTTCCCTGTTTCTGCTTTTACTTCTCTTAAGTGTGTTCTCAATAGCAGCCAGAGTAATCCTGTTAAAATGTGAGACCCTTCACTCCTTTTCTCAAACCCCCCCAATGGCTTCTGATCTCACTCTAGTAAAAGTCGAAGGCTTTAGAATGTCCCATAAGGCTTTACATAATCTGGGTTTCTGAGGTCACATCTCTGACCTCATGACTTCTCCTTTTACTCTAAAGACAGTCTCTCTGCTTTTCCTCAGAAACAAATTAGGCACAATCTCCCTTCAGGGTATTTGCATTAGATATCCTTTCTCTGTGAAATGCTCTCCCCCAGGTATTCATTTGGCTCACTCTCTTACCTCTTTCAGGTCTTATTCAAAACTCACCTTCTCAGTGAGGCCTTCCCTGGACCTCAACCTAAAATTGTACCACATAGCTCTCTCCAAGCCACCCCTAATCTATTCATCTTCCTTTCTTCCCTTATTTTGCTCCTCACCCTTACCACTATCTAACTTCCTTTCTTCCTTCCTTCTCCTTTCCCTTCCACTACCTCGCATTCCTTCCTTTCTCTTTCCCTCTTCTTACAGGATAAGAAAAGTATTCCAAATACAGAATATTCAAAGGTCCTGAGGCAGGAGGAAGCATGGCACAATCTAGGAAATAAAAGAGGCCAGAGTACCTTTAGCATAAAGGATAAGGTCTGCTGGGAGAGGCTGGAAGGTGGAGAGGCTCTAGATTGTGCAGGGATGGTAAAACATATTGAGGAACTTGGTTTGCTATGATTATCATAATATTTTTAACCAGAAACATAACTTAATTAAGCAGCTCAATATAATAGTATGGTACTAATAACTTTCTTAAATATATGAATGTTGACATTTTGGCACCCTTAAGGAGTGAGAGCATAATTCAATTCTAGGGTTAAAAAATAATAAATCACAGAAGATGTCTGGCAGTGGGAAAAAACACTCTGAGTAGTAGAAAATAATAAAAACAGCTACGAAGAGTTAAAGATGGAGATTATTCCAAACCCAGCCAGTGAAACTGGCTGATTAATGACAGTCATGCGCTAAAAGCTCAGTGGGAAAGGTCAGGAAGAAGGAAAAGAGAAGAGAAAAATCAATTGCCAGGAAATAACAGATGTGGATGCATGAACTAGAAGAGGAAATAGAAGAGCAAACACAGGCAAGAAGATAAATGGAACTAAACCGCTCTGGGGAGAAAACAGCTCTACTATCTGCTTACAATTTGAACAACCCCTTTCTCTACCACCACCATCATGGAGAAAAAGTCACCAGAAAGTTTCACAGGTGATTCTTTTGAACCTTGAAGGAGCAGATAATTCTAGTATTTACACTTATTACTTAGTTTTCTAAAAGTATCAGCCAATGAAATTAAAATTTAGAATGTAGTAAATATTGGAAAACAAAGAAAAATTATCATTAGTTGAAGCGACACACTTACACATAGAAAACCCAATGAAATCAAGAGCCAAGAGAATTCGGTAAAGTGGTGTATTAGTCTGTTTCTGTTGTTTATAACAAAATACATGGAACTGGGTATTTTATAAAGAAAATGAAATTTATTTCTCAGTTTCTGAGGCTGGGAAGTCCAAAGTCAAGGAACACATCTGGTGGTGGCGGCAACTGTGACCCAGAGTTCTCACATTGCACGACGGTCGAAGCAGAGAGAGCAGAGAGAGACTAATCTCATTCACTGTCCTTTTAAGGACCTCCAAACCATGTCCATGACCACCATTTTTAATCCATCACTACGGCATGGTCTTACAATGTTATCACCTCCTCAAGGACTCACCTTTCAATTATCATAATCATATTTCCCGCCCTCAACAGTTACAGTGAGTATTAAGTTTTGGGGGGACATTCAACCCAAGGCAGGTGGCTTGTTGGAAAATTAGAATATGGAAAAAAAAGTAGTTTACCTATAAATAACCATTGACCA